TTACGTACGTACGTACGACGTACTACGTACGTACGTACGTAGAGAGAGAGAGAGAGAGAGAGAGAGAGAGAGAGAGAGAGGAACACAAAATGTAAAGAAGAACCATGAGTATAAAAAGTCGAGGAAGAAGTGATGAGAAAAGAATAAGGATGAATATGGAGATTATAGTTTTGTCACCCCTATCTGTTAGAACAAATGACTGGCCCCCAAACATGAATGAGTACACTAGAGAAAATAGTGAACCCCACAGAAATATTAACTAGCCCTACATAAGTGCCTCTCAAGTTTCTACATGAGAATGACCGGCAGAAACTATTGTTCCATGTAGAGGCTACAAACTATTCACAATACCATCTACCATCTTATCCATGGTTCTATAAATCATCCAAAAATTAATGAAAGCCTTAATAATATGATCAATAGTTCCTTAAAAAATGCCATGTTCGGCTGATTAATGAAAATTCCTGCAACCACTGCCAATCCATCACAGTAGGGTTAAGAGCTCCATGGGCAGACCAATCCAATGCTACGAAACTAACGATACCCAGAATTCTTACTTGCTAGGGACCATCTAATCCAATGAGGGTAACTACGTAATGGCAATGGAAAATAAGGAAAACCACGTATCCCTTTTTCTTCACTAAAACAAAATCCATTTAGCATATGGAAATGTCATAAACCCACACCCCCGAACCCACTAAACAGTCCATATGATCCCCATATCCTCTGTGATATTCTAATGGTAGAAATTTCTCGAGCTTTAAATTTCTTGACTAATAGAAACAGATATGGATTTTCATGGAACAAAGTTTTCGCACAAGAACTACATCTTCCTTTAACATAATAAGTTGGACCAATGGTTTAAAAACCGGATCGGTGACCCGGATCGGGCTTTTCAAAAACCGATCCGGATCGGCGAATCGGCGAATCGGCGATCCGGATCGGAATCGGGTGAATCGGTCGGAATAAAGCTCCAAAAAAATCCGAAAAAATTATTAAAATTCATTATAAATATTGTTTTTTAGGAATTCAATAAAAAATGAGGGTACTCCATTAAGAATTTTCGTGTTTTTAAATGAA